TGAACCGCAACCATGTTGGTGTTGATTTATGTTTTGCAATTAACTGCATATCTGACACTTATTGCAAAAATGCATGATATTGTATTTGTGACTGCAAACTGTAATGACTCTGCCACATGTAGATCCTAGGAGGCTTTCAGTGACTTTCACCATGATAATGTTAATAAAGGAGCAATTAATAGCTGAATTAAAAATAAGTAAATGAGCAGTAAAAATACAGAAAAATTACTGATGCCTGTGGTGCGTCACTTAATAAGTAGGTAAAAATATATGAAATAATTATAGTGTTTGGAAGGCAGAAACTGCATGAGGAAAATGATTCAGTGGAATATTAAGCTTGTTGCCTGAAATGTTAGAGTGAATAGCATTCAATATGTTATTTACTTTCTATAATCCTGGGTTTATATGTTCTCATAAATATGCTGACATGCTGTAGTTTCCCTGATCACATTAAATACTTTCTAAACTAAATTAGAATGCAGATCTCTATTCATACTCAATAGCTTGGCAGTCATATGATTATACCTGTAATCTTGGTGGAGTGTCTAATTTCTGTGCGGGTTTTTAGTCAGGGGGATCATTAGGAAAACGTGTATTAATAAGCTTGCTTTATCAATTAAAACTTTATTAGCGTAGAATATGTTACCATGTGCTGCAGAAAAATAGCATGCTGTTGGTGTAATTTTAAATGAGAAGAGTTAAATATAGATATTACAAGTTATTTTGTTTTCTAATTAGTAGCTTGAAGTCTTTTGTGCCCAAAAACCTGGAGGAATTTGAGACTTTGCTTAGACTGAAACAATTGAAATTAATTAATTCTTAAAAGTCAATGGTTTTGAATACTTACCATAGCTATCACACGTAAGAGTCCAATGGCAAAAATACTTCTGAGGAAGTAAACACAAAGATGCCACCCCAATCATCCTCTCAGAATTTACACCAGAGCACCAATTTATTGTGAAACAAAGGAGACAACTTTTTGTACCATTTATATTATTAACTGCAAAACAGTTGGAGCACACTGTGGGCACGTCTACATGAGATACTTACTGTGGAGCTGCCTTAGTAGCTTCACAGTGAAGTCTCAGAATCTACACATGCAGCCCTATTAGGCTTCAGTAAACTAATTAACTCCACTATAGGTTAGTACTGGTAAATACAAGTACTATCTTACAACAATATTCTTTAGTACACAGCAGTGCACGTGTAGATGCTGATGGAGCTGGATGGGGCACAAGGGTGCTTTAGTGCAGGGGCTGCCTGCCAGCTAGCCTCACACGGGAGCACTCTCATGCCTCAGCCAGCCCCTCTGCAGCACGTTGAGCAGGATGGGAGAGAGTCCCTCCTGGGCAGGCTGACCCTCCAGGTCCCATGTCAGCTGGGGCTGCTCCAACCCAGCTCAGCTGCAGTCCTGGGTGCACATGTAAATGTGGTGCCCAGGAGCAATAAACTCTGGTGTGATATGTGCTGAAGTTTACTGTTTCACATTAATTTCACATGTAGATGTGCCCAGTGTGTCTGATCCTACTCCCATTGGAAAAAAAGGAAAAAATGTTGTTCACTTCAATGTAAGCAGGACCAAGCAAGAAAAAATGGTAGCATAAGTTCTTTTATGTTCCTTTCAGATTTTTTAAGAGAGTCCTCCTGGATCAGTATTGTCCTATTCCAGGCTTTCAAGAAAAGGGATAGGAAATATAGGGAAGAAGTAGTCTTGAGCATGGCCCATATAAGGGGGATGATGATGATGACTGAGGGCCCAAGGCAGATTTCTTTAAGAACGGATGGGCTGAACTTCTCTATCCCCATGGTGACAATGGATACAGCTGGTTCTTGGTGCGTTCAGTCTGTTTGTCTGTCTCTCACAACCAGAAAATCAAGGCAGGCTTAAAAATATCTCTAGTGCAGCCATGATAGTTATCCCAATAGTGAACCAATGGTGAGGCAAGTCCTATTGGGAAATAAGGAGTCTGGATAAAACCCATGTAGCCACAAATGAGAAACCAGGGTTAATGTTAGCTGTACCTGTCTCATTTGGAAATTACCGGCAAGTAAACCCTTTTTAGTTCTTCTGTGTGAATTTTGGTTTGCTTTTGATATAGACTCTTCTGATAAACTTTACAAGACTAGCAGACAGCCTCACTGATATTTTTTTCTTTTGCAAATTAAAATAAAGCTTTCCCAAGCCAAAAAGAAAACTGTTTTTTTCAGTTTCTATAGCTGGGTATTAATTTCTTTATTTTGTTTGGAAGGCCATGCGGTCTTATTGTATGTCTATGCAGCTTGATCATCAGCTGAAGCTGTCACTAAAGCTAACAAGTAGTATGAAGCCTTTGTATAATGCACAAGCCAGTGGCTGAACACAAATGCAATATAACAACATGCTTGATTTTACATTGCGCTCTTCTGTGTGAAGCTGCAAAATTTTCATTAAACTATTTAATAAAAATCATTTTGTAAATCTTGTTTCAGTGATCCAAATTTGCCCATAATATATAGCCACTGATTTCTCTTTTTTCCTTTAATATAAATACTATACTTTTGCACCTAATTTTTATATATTTGTAATATTAAAGTTGTACATATAAAATAAAAAAGGCCAGCAAATGCAAACATCAAGGTTTCCACAGCAACACCATCCTTCTTAAATATCAGTTATACTTTTGGTGCCACATGCATATCCCAAAGTGCTGTGAATAGAATATGAATACACAACAGAATTAAGAACCATGTGACAGAGTTGAAACTTCCTTTGTGACCTTGCCCAGGTCTGTGAATCTCTGCCTTGTCCTCTCTCCTGCTCTGTTAGAAAGTTATAACATTTAGTTTGATTGTGGTTAGTCATACAGACTTTTAAAAGACCCCTTTATTGTTTCATGAGCAGTGTTAGGGAGAGACTTCCCTGTACATGTGCATTCTGGTAAGAAACCAAATACCCTAACAGCAGCCAAAAGCCTCATTGATTATGAAATTCCTATTGGAAAATGTTGTTTCAGTGCTCCTGAAAAGAAGATATACCTGAGTTCTTACTGTATTAGGTATTTTCATTTTCTCTGATCATTTTCCTTGACACTTTAGTACTTATCATGCCCAACCTTCCCAGGGTTCAGAACAGGAGAAATTGGATTATGCCATCAATAATAAAAAGCGAGTCATCCGACTAGTTCTACAGTGGGCTGCTTTATATGGAGACCTACTACAAGAGGATGAAGCAGCAGTGGCCTTTCTGGAGGTATAGAAGAATTATATTTATACCATTTTGCTGAAAAGTAGCTACAAAGGAAATTTGCTTAAGACCTTATCACAGCCTATGGAATTCCATTAGCAAATAAGGAGCTTTAGTACATATCTTTAAAACAGAGCAAAGTTATGTTTGTGTTTTCTCAGTTTTAACTGCAGGTTGCATACAAGTACAGAGCCAGACAGTGCAAAGTGTTGGATCCTGTTTCATGGAAATTTGCAGGGAAACTGGGTGTCAGAGTTGGGAGAATTCTGAAAATAACCAAACTAGTACAGTTCTGCTGTACAGTATTGGAGAGAGTAGGCTTTTATCTAGAATGAAGGGATCCTGTGTATATCAAATACTTTGACAGGAACTTTTTTTAGAAGGTTGGTGTGGATGTTCCAGGAAGAGACTGGAGGATCTATCACTATGCCAGTCCAAAATGTAATCCATCCCTAGCTGCAGCCAAGAAACTTTCCTGCAGAACCACAGTCCTTCTAACGCACAGTTCAGCCACTGGGTTTTACCCATTGTTATGTCAGGTGTCACTAAGAGTGTAAATACTTTGGGGCAGGTGCTATGTCATTGTTGAATAAGGCACTATACATTTTCCCACATGCATAATAATTAGCTTCACTTATTATTTGCATTATCCTAGTACAGTGGTTCTCAACCTTTTTAGATTCAGGGCACCCCTCCTTAGACTCAAGGCACCCCTTATTAGACTCAAGACACCTTTTAGAAAATGCCAGCTCTTAGCTTTCTCTCATATTTTGACAGTGGAAAAATAATGGAGCAATTCTTCTGTTGCAGAGAACTCAGAAAGACCACAACAGGTCAGAATGTTTTTGACACTATGGATTTCTATGCAAAATCTCCAGAGTTTTCTTGTGAATCATGTATAGGTGTTTCCACATCTAACACTGGCAATATCATCTTCCCACTTTACTCGGCCCTGGTGAGACCGCAACTGGAGTACTGTGCCCAGTATTGGGCCCCCCACTTCAGGAAGGATGTGGAGAAGCTTGAGAGAGTCCAGAGGAGAGCCACTCGTATGATCCTACGCCTGGAGGGAAGGCTGTATGAGGAGAAGCTGAGGGACTTGGGACTCTTCAGTCTGGAGAAGAGAAGGCTTAGGGGGGACTTGGTGGCAGCCTACAACTTCATAAGAGGGGTACATCAGGACCTAGGAGAGAAGCTGTTCACCAGAGCTCCCCAAGGGATACCAAGGTCTAATGGCCATAAACTCCAGGAAGGCCAATTTACAGTAAATATAAGAAAAAAGTTTTTATGGTGCACATGTCCAGGGTCTGGAACAAACTCCCCCCAGAGGTGGTGCAAGCACCTACTCTGGTCTCCTTCAACAGCTGGATTTATTTCTTGCTGGAGTCATGTGATACCAGCTGACCTCCCACCTATGGGGGGGGGGGCTGGACCCAATGATCTCAACCCCTAATGTCTATGGAAATCTATGAAATATTGAATGATACCCACATCACCCTTAAAAAAATCCCATGGTGCTCTGGTTGAGAATCACTGTCCTAGTGCTTAGGAGCCCTAATCATGGGCTAGGATCCCATTTTGCAGCATGCATAGACCCGAAACAAAAAAACAGTCCCTGCCCCAAAAAGCTGATTATTTATGTATAAAACAAGAAACAGTGGATGTAGGCAGACAAATGCAGGTGTTCAAGGAAACAATGAGATAGTATTAATCTGTATGACAGATCATCAGCAGCCTAACTATTGGCAGGTATTTTTGGGATTGTGAAAAAGGAGTTTTAAGGAGATTTTTGAAGGTTAGCGAGTTCGTTTTGTGATTGTTTGCAGTGAGCTTCCCCTACATGTGAGGGCAGCAGAGGGGAAAAATTATCAGAAATCAGAAAATGTAACAAATTTAACAAACAGGCAATGGAAGTTGGCCTCATGGGCCAAGCAGAAATGAGAGTTTCAATGACAAGTGAGAAATTACAAATGGTGTCGAGAGGCTATAAAGGGCCATCAAACTGAAGACCAGTAGCTTATAATTGAAGTGACAGAAAAGATGGAACTAGGGAAGGAAGCAGAGAAAGGGGCAAAAACAGTTGGCTAGGAAAATGAAAGCACTCTGAAGGATATGATAGGGTTAAGACTGCATTTTCAAGGACCAAGACAAGGATATTGCAGTAAGTGACCCACAAGATGATGAGAGACTGGCAAGAGCTTCAGATATGCACATGGATTGGAAAGGTTTCATCTTAGAGATGTTATACAGAAAGAATCTGCAAGACTTACACATAGTCTGGATATGAAAACCTGAAGAGAGGTTCATGTTGAAGATGAGAGCCAGATTACGGACATGAATGGTGGGCAAGAAGGTGACTGAGAAAGGCAGCAGATAGGATTTAAGGGAAGTGGGGAATAAAAGCAGTTCTTTAGGTGCATTGAGCTTTAACTGACATATGAACAACTGAGGAGGTCAGAGATCTTAATTTTCACAAAAGAAGACAGGTCTGGAGTAGAGAGGTGTGTAATCAGCATAGACATGACAATTTTTTATGTTTTTGTGGAGGAGATTACTTGGAGATAAGGAGTAAGAAGAGAAGACAGAGCCCTTACAGAAAGCTGGAGGGGAAATGAAGAGGATCCTCTGATGGACCTGTTGAAGGAGTGTTTAGAAAGTTAAGAGAAGAACCGGGATAGAGAAAGTAACAGATGCTAAGGAAGGAGATTTCTAAGAGAACAGAATAGTTGAATGAGCCACAGGCAGCTGACAGGTCAAGGAGGACGAGGAGGGAGCATTGGTTCTGAGATTTGGCAAGGAACAGGTCATTAGAAATCTTGGTGAGAGCAATTGCCAGGGACAGCAAGGGCCAGGAACAGGACTGGAGGGGGGTCTAGGGTGGAACTGAAGAGAAGGGGCTCCAAGACAATGATTACCAACAGTATATTCAATGAGATTAGGTAATGTGGGGAAAGGGAGACAGTCAGGGAAGGTCTGTGAGGTAAAAGGTGAATTTTTATAAAATGAGGGGAACTAAAGCAATAGTAATAACAGTAACAACAGTAGCTAATTGTAAAATAAATGAACCAACTGTGTTACAGCATTTCTTTGTATTGCATATATAATAACTTCTGTTACCTAACTGAAAAACCCATAAATTCCAAAATTTTCTCCACAGTAATCTTTTTTTTTAAAAAAAAAGCAGAATATAGTTATGACAATGACAGAGTGCTTAGATACCGAACTAGAAAAATGTGTCTATCTTAAATTTGTACCATCCTCTTTCCTTTCTACATGTGTAACTCTTATTTTAAATCAGCTGGACTTAAACAGAAGTGATGGAGAATTGCTTCAGCATTTTTTCTGTATTCACTGAACTGTTACTGATTCCTGGCTATCAGTAAACTGTCATATGTAAAACAAAAATTAATCTTTCTCCTTCTATGCGAAGCTCATTTATTTATGTTCCTGTTAAAAAATTATTTTGTATTATTTACAGGAATTTTATGTATCCGTATCAGATGATACAAGAATGATTGCAGCACTGAAAGAGCAACTTCCAGAGCTAGAGAAGGTTGTAAAACAAATGTAAGGATAGTGTTTTTGTCCCCCTTTCCTTTGTTTCTTTTGACTCACGCTTCAGTAAAATAGCTAGGAAAATCTCTCTTTTATATCAGGTCAGAAAAATGACTTCTGTATCCATTGAGAGCTTTCAAAATGGCAGCGCAAAAACTGCTGAAAAATATTGCTTGTATGCATGCTTGTTCAAACAAACATATGTGACACTTTTATTTTGTATGAACATTCTTGCAAACCCCAAAGTTACTCATGTAAGGATTCACAGAAAGCATGCAAAAGGAATATGTATTCCTTTGGAAACAAAGCTGCAGATTTGTTTAACATTTATGTGCCTTTTGGCAGCATTTGCCCAGTCCTACTTAGGACTAACTGTCACTTCTATTCTTAGCATAAGCATTCATAAATCCCTTGACATGATAGTTTGGAGATTTATCAGTATTCTTAAAGTGATACACTATAGGTGAAATCTTCAAGAGATACCTAATATTTTTTTTCTGCTTTCTCTAGTTCAGAAGAAGGTAAAACACCACAAAAGAAGGTAAATTAATTTTGGCATTTTCTAAAGCCGGGGGTGCTAAACCACTGCCCATAGAGCCAGGTCACTCAGCCTGCAGGGCTCCACAGTGGCCCAGAAATTTGGAAGCGGACGAGAAGTAGCAGCAATAATTGCCATACCTTCCAGAGCTGTGGAAATTAGCGTTGCCACCTCCCCCCACTGCCAAATTCCCAGACCCTTGGGAAGTCCTGCAGGCTGGATAACACAGTCCCATACACCAAGTCACAGTGGTGCACAAGGCTGGACCGGCATACAGGGCTGGATCCGGTACGCATGGGGTGCTCCATGGTCAAATTCAGCACACACAGGGTTGCTGTATGGCCAGATCTGGTGAGCATGGGCTAGCTCTAAGCTGGATCCAGGTGTGTGGGATCAGGCCCATGGACTGACTCCATGCACCAAATGTGTGGGATCCAGCCTGTGGGCAGGCTCCACTGTTTTAAGAGATTTTCTTTTTCAGTAACATTGAATTATTACAACACATATGGAAATAGTTTAAAACTGAATCTGCAAACTGTGTTTTGTTGTTTTCTCTCTTGCTTTTGATGCACCATGTCTGTTTAAATTCAGGTCTACTCCATAATATTTCTTCTTTGACTTATGATGATGCTTATCATGATTATTATTTTTGCAGCACAAAGTTCTTCTGCAGCTGTTTAACACAACTGATGATAGAGCACAAAAACGCCAGCCCATCAGGGGAAGTGATGAAAGTAAGTACCTGCATGCTGTGGTTTGCAACACTGTTTCCTGTACTGCTGAGGTTTACAATAAATTTATTGCCCCTGGGGCAGAAATCAGAATAAATAGAAGTGTCTGATTTTCAGATATGGGGCAGAATCTGTTTCTCCTCATTCAGCATAGTCCTCAGTCCTTACTTTGAGTAGACTTAAGTGAATGGGGGAAGTGATATTGAGCTCTTGAGATGTCCATTTCTTCTTGCTTTAATTATTTGTAGTAGAGGTGGGGAAAAAGTAAAATGAAGTGCCTTTCAAATAACGAATGAACAAAACAGTTTTAAAACAGTGCCAGCAATGCATATATGGGTAATATGTGGACATTGGTGTTTGGTCCCCAATTTAATTGATACTAGTTTTAAGCCTGAGCTTCAAGTTCAGTCTTGTTCTGAAAATCAACTTATGGAATGGGGGATTATCATAGAAAGCATTGATTTGAAAAGGACTTAGGGACATTGTTGATAAGCAGCTGAACATGAATTTCCAGTGTGAAGCTGTGGCAAAATGGACTACTGTGATCGTTGGTTATATAAGCAGATGAATAGTCCCATGTTTACCTTTTGCATTCCTTCACCTATTGTTTCCCCCTCTTTCCCCCCTCTCCCCTCCCTTCTCTACCCTTTGTTTTCCAGACTTCTGCCTATTTACATTTTCACTGACCTCCTGTCACACTTTTAGCTCCTTTCCCACCTTGGAGATTTCAGAACAACAGCAGAGTCTCCTAGTGCCTAAAGAAGGATGCTTGTGCACAAAAGCTTGCAAAAAACTTTTTTCCAACTACTCAGTTGGTCTAGTAAAAGATATCACATCTACCCAAAGAACCTTGCCTACCTCCTTATATGGCACTGGTGAGACCCTGACTAATATTGTACCCAGTTTTGGTGCCCATGCTTTAGCAGGGATGCACAATCTGGGATTTTAAATGCTCCCTCTATGGAATTTATGAAAGATAAGTTTAATAGACTTGAGCATGGCCTATTAGTAGACCTGCACAAAGGCTTCTGTAGGGATGCTAATAGTTGCTTAATCTCATAGACAAAGGCCTGGTAGGACCTAATGGATGGTACTTGAAGCCAGCTAAATTGAAACTGGAAATGAGGTGCAAAATTAATCATTAAAAGAGATGACCAGAGGCTATGGTCATTTCTCCATTATCTGGAGTCTTTAAATGTAGCCGCAATGTATTAGATTGTGTCTGGGAATTAGCAGGCAGTGATGTTTTCTGTCACATAAGAAACCAGACAGAATGATCATTGTCCTCCTCTCTTTCCTGAAACTCCATGAATGTATAAATAATGGCAGTTACCATTATGATTGCTAAGGTAAAACCAGTCAGGTCTCATGGTTGAACATAGGATAATTCCTCTTGCACAATCCAGCATAAGCACTCAGTAAGCTAAAGCAGGTCATGGGTAGGCATATTTCTGGCATAGGTCCTAGCTTGTGGCTGAGACAAACTCAGTACAGCTCAGAAAAAGTGGGTGTAAAGCTGGATTTCCATTTGAGACTCTCTGGCTGCCTATACACATGCTTGGAGGTGGAAGGGGGTGCATTTTAATTAGAGCAGTCCCCCAGCAGCCACTGTAATTAAAACACCACAGCATCACATGTATTAAGCCCCTGCACATTTAAAAATAGCCACCAGATGATTTATCTAAACCTCATTCAATGAGGCTTAGTTAAAGCACCCCAGGGTCATTTTTAAACGCTCAGGGTCATAGGCACCGACTTCTATGTTTGCCAGGGAAGGCCTAAGATGATGGACATGTGGAAAGTTTTATGCATTTCAGATGACAGTCCTCTTCCTGAGGGGGACCAGAGCCCTTGGACCCCCACATACTCAGCACCTCCGCTAGGGGGCTTAATACATGTGATGCTGCTGCAGTGCTGCAGCATTCTAATTAGAATGTGGAACAGACTCAATTAATCAAGTCTGCACTGATGCATTCTAATTAGAATGCCATCAAGCACATGTATAGGCAGCTTGTGAGTGTAAAAGGCAGTAGGGAAATCCTGTGTCTCCTGAGAGCCATTATTCTCTGACAGCTGAAGCTGCCTTGGAACACTTCACCCTGAGTGGCACACAATGCCTCCTAGACTCAAGGTTTCTGGCTCTTCACTTCCTCATCTTGCTTGGTGTTAGAACCCACCCACCTGAGAAAGCTGGTAGCATAAAATGAAATAGGGCAAGAATCCTTTCATATCTGAGCTGCAGGATGTTTTAAAGGCAGATTTCCAGGATACCTCTCATAATTACATTCATCCCCACATTTTTGTGCCTGGGGTCTTATTTGCCAGCAGGGGGTGAGGTGCTTTAAAATGGCCTATGTAGAGCAAATTTACATTGGGATATGGAAAGGCTGATTACATAATAGACATTTTCCATTTCTGATGTTTAGATACCAGGAACCCATTCCCCACCTCAGAACTACCTAAAACCAAAGCACATTGGAATCAATGAGCATAGTCACAGTCCGTGGGCTCTGGATCATGCTCTGGGTTATTTTCAATTTTCAACTTACCTTGACTTTTTCCCTCTACTTCAGCTGACAGCCAACATTATATTTTTCTCACCTTCCATTTTTCCATGGGTGTTTCCATCTGTCCCCCAACTACACACACTCGTGCACGCACACGTACACACGCAATTCTTTTACAAGCTTGCTGGGATACCTACTTTCATCTTTAATGCTTTGGCTTTTTTGTGTCCATTGTTCCTTCTTTTCTACTTTACCTTTGCACATCAATTTTTGTAACATTTCACTGTATGCAACTCTGCATTATCTTTCTGTTCTTCCTTTTATTGTTAAGTGTTTTGTGAAACTTGGTATGAAAGGCACTAAATATAAAATGCATTGTATTTCAGTAATGCCAGTGCTCCAGGAACATCCTACTGATAGAACAAGCATCATGTTTTGACTAAAACAGATATTTCTAGATAATTCATTTCTATTATATTAAAAAACCTTATAACAATAAATTTCCACCGACTCTTGTCTCTTGCATTCTATTCCTTAGATAAGTGACTCCACTAGAAGCAGCTTTGCCCTCATCAGCCCTAGGGGTTGAGGTGGGAGCCCTGTGACTAAAACACAGCAATAGAGTATTAACTTATTCCGGAAATCTATACCAGACTGGAAGGAGGACCATGTCTGTCCCTCTGGTTCTGCCCAGTCTAGTCTCCCCTCCACAGTTCTCTGGATGCGGCTGCTCCCCTACACACCACTTCTATATGAATGGGGAAAGAGCGGTCTATAGAAGGAGCCCTCCACATAGGGATCTAAGAATAGGAACAATCAGACTACTGTAAAGTTATATTATACTGATGGATATATCACACTGGAGAAGTGTTGATCCTATGTATGTATTTTCTGTATCCACAAGCCTCTACAGGTATCCTCCATGAATACAGCTGGTGCACACAGGCTGTCATATGGGTCTCTCTCCTATGGATTTACATAGGGCCATGCACTTGTTGCCTCAATGGAGGTATCTCGTCTTATGTCTGCAGGGTTATTCTGTAATTGATTCCATGGTTGTACACTTCCCATTTATAGGACAGACTGCAAAGTAAGCATAGAGGGCTCCAACACAACCTATGGGCTCTGTGGCTTGGTTTGACAATTGGAATTTTTTTGATTTCTTCTTCTGGCTTTAATTCATTCCACTTCTGACCTGCCCTGCTCTTTACAGAATAGCTTCTATCCTCCCAATTTCTATGCAATCAAAATTGTCTGGTATTTCCTATAATTCAGGAGACGACTCTTGCTGTACCTCCAATTGTATCTTGCTTATTAGAGCATTTACCTTCATTGTCTGCAACAGTTTTGATTTATCAGCAAGATATCTGAATGTCTGGAAAGGACTACAAGAGACACACCACAGTCTAAATCAGTGGTTCTCAACCTTTTTAGACTCAAGGCATCCTTCGTTAGACTCAAGGCACTATTCCATCACCTCCGTGAATAGAGCAGCATCCCATTTCAAAAACAGTTTATTTCACTGTTTACCTCCTTGAAGAGGGGCTACATAATGGGGGAGGTGAGCTGCTAGGCTCTTGAGCCACCTATCGGATCTGGCTCTGCAAATATGCAAACCTGTGATTAGGGAGTTTCATAATTAATTTTTCTTAACCCTTGCAAAAGTAAAATTATTTATTTGAGAACGTTCAGCTGGCTGGATCATGCAGAAATATCAATGATGTTGACCTCTATGAATAATAGAGTAATATTGGAATTTCAGGAGTCTTATCATTTACTATAACTTAATGCAGACCTGGCATTAAAATTACTAAGCTTGTTGAAAAACTAGAAATCTGGGACCTATAATACCAAATAGAGTTTTAGAAACTTAATATTGTGTTTGTTAAGTATGAGAGCAATCATTTATTGATATGAGAATTATTTGCACAATAAAGTGTATCTGGTTGTTATATACAGCATTCACCATCCTTATTTTTGTCTATAGTTCTGTTTAAAGTGTACTGTATAGACCACACCTACACTACTATCCGTGTGCCAGTGCTGTCTTCTGTTAAGGAAGTGGTCAGTGCAGTAACAGATAAACTGGGCTCTGGAGAAGGCTTGATCATAGTAAAGATGAGTTCAGGAGGAGGTAAGGTATTTACATTATCTTTGATCTATCTCATTTGAAAAAAAAAATAGAACACTCTGACAGACCATAAAATAATACTGATTTACTCAAGGCTGTTCCTATTCCTGTTCATCTCACCAGAAAGTTCTCTTAGGAGCACAACCTGTCCTTCACTATTGATGTATATGACCCTGAACACAGTGGATCTTACTATAGGAGAGGCAGCTCTCTCAGGAGGCAAAGGTGCTGTTCACCATAAAGCAATGTTTTAGCAGGGATCTTTTCACTGTGACATGTATTTTGGACAGGGGTAGAGAAAAGAGGGCATGGATGATTTCATATTTACACCATTCAGATCCTGTAAAGGGCAAGGTGGATGCTCCAGTAACAGCAGAGAATATGCAGTTTGCAGGCTGCAGAGGAGGCCAAAGATTTAATGTGTTCCCCTTCCCTTTCAATCACCACCAGCCTCCCTCTGCCAACCCCTTTTACTTGGGCCTCACAAAAGTTCACGACTTGGCACCTAGGAAAGTAAACCAAGCACACTAGAAACAAGTACATGGTGGATTCTGCTGAAGAAACCATGCTGGTGAGAGTGATTGAATATGACAGTATGACAATGACAGAGCCGCACTGCTGAAGAGGGCAGTGTTGGAATGCATTTCTTTCCAATAAGCAAAGATACCTACCAGAAAACTGGCACCAGGGGTCTCTCTCTCTTTTCAGTTGCAATTGCAGTAATTTTCTGTTGCAAAAATGGATGACAGCAGCCTAACTTGCATATGCTGAAAAAATTCATCACGAGTCAGTTTATAAGGTCTTCTTTACCTTCAGGCTGTGATCCACAGTCTTTTTTTATGACTGTTGTCATGAGGCCAGTATACAATTACATCCAACTGCCTCATCAGGCACTTGCTGGCTTTCCAGTCAGTTTTTGAACAGCTAGTTAACCTCTTACTTCTCAGAGGATGTGTCTACACGTTCATTGATGAGCCATAGGTACGGCACATTAAATTTAGTACTTGGATAACCATGTACTAAATCAGTGCACAGTAACTCATGCTACTGTGCCGTAGCGCTAGTGCACAGGTTTTTTTCCAGACACTAACTATACAGTAGCCTACTACTACTGTATACTAGCCGTGGTTTTGCCCGGCACACTACTGCACAGTGTTATTAGGCTACTGCACTGTGTCTAGCATCTTGTGTAGACACACTCAGAGAGGAGGGAACTGAGTCATTCACATCGAGTGGTTTTAACATTTGCAGTGCAGATTGTCTGAGTTTCTTTCAGGTTGGGTGTTGTGATTTCAAGCCCCAGTATTCTGGGGATTTCATGTGGGTTGAGCCTGCTCTCTCATGTATTGATGTCACATTTTTTCAGTAAGTAAGATCTTGTAATTTACCATCCAAGGCATCTTGCTGTAGCTTTTAATAATGCACTTATCTACTAATTTGATTTCACTGTGGTTAAGTCTGCTGTAACCGTGGCCATTTAATGCTGTGTATTTAATAGAGAATCTTACACTTCCATGTTTACAGAAAAGGTGGTACTCAAACCCAACGATGTTTCGGTGTTTACGACTCTCACTGTTAATGGACGTCTTTTTGCTTGCCCACGAGACCAGTTTGATTCCCTGGTATGTATGTATTTAATTCTCAGAAAACCACTGAAAGTCTGAGAGCAGTGACATGGAATACTAATAGCTCAAAAAAGGTTTATCAGCCTATTTTATCTTATGAGCATTTTAGCTGGAAGTTATCTGAGAGATCCAAAACTAAAGGTTTGTTAGGGTGAAGCCAAAAGAACACACACCCTTGTAAAAAAGCAATATTATCATTTTTAGAACAGAGGAAAAAACATTCTGTCTGATCTGCGCAGCAGATCTCAAATCCAATACCTAGAATTGAACATACAAGGAGAGTTAAATGTTATAAGAGATAACTGTGGCATGAATCTGATTATAGAACTGTCCCCTCTGTGTTCACAGACATTTAAATAGAGTAAGATGTTATCAATTAAAATATTATAGAGGCTTGATCAATGCAGTAAACTCTTTAAACTCTTTTTTCCTGACCTCCAAAATACTGTGTAAAAACTACAGATTATTCTAACTAGAATCACAGAAAACATTCCTACTAGAAAATGTGTTTTTTCTTAAGTAACATTGTTCATAAGTACTTGCAGTTCATACAGTAATTCTAACAATCTCCATGAGGTCTGCTTTTATAGAGTTTGATTTGACTGTACTTCTTGTTCCTTTTACTTCATTAAAAACAACTGTCATTGCCAAGTCATGCCAGCATGAACTCTATTACTTCAAGCCTTGTTTCAGCCTCCTTTGTGCTTTTAACAAGCTACTTAGTATGTATGCCTGATTTCTTTTATAGATATTTTAAAGTCAAAGCTTCACTGTGGCTTTAGATATAGACATTTAGTGGTAAATTTTTGGTATTTTGAGAACCTTTACAACCATTTCTATCTCCATTTAGCATGGACTGAATATGCCAAATATAGTTGATTGTACTGCTCAAGACTGACTAGAGCTCAGTGCTATGACAAGCCAACTGTCCTCAATTGTTACTGACTGCAGAAATTCAGGCAACTCAGTTCCTTGGAAGATGGTCTCAGCAGTGTGCAATAGAAGTTCACTACATTAACCATTTCTACAATATTCTGTTACTGAAATCTAGCAGAATCCTTCTAGCTTGAGTACCCTTTGCTATTTCAGAATCCATGTTCCTGTTGCTAAGTGCAAATATAAATTTGTTCATATTATGCTTGGCAAGCCTCCTGTGAAAAAAATTGTTCTGGGACAGATTAACTTGCAAACATGCAGTGAGTCTAAATCTAAATGTTTCCTCTCTAGCATTAGAAAATATTTTAGGGCTATTTGCTTGTTATGGTAACCCAGTTCTTTTGTCATTGTCTCTGAAGAGAAAGAAAAATGTATTTTACTTTGTGGAAAAGTCTCTTTCTTTAAACGATTAATATTCCTGAATAAATCTGTATGTAGAGTCACTTTTCAGGAATAAGGAAGCTATCAAATTTTAAACACAGAGGAACTATGGACCTGGTATAATGCTGATGCTTGTTCTGAAGAACAAGCATTTCCTGGTAAGACAGTCTCTTCCAAATCAAGACTTTCTCAAAGCCAGTCTCATAAGGCCATATTGCCTATAATGTATTGCAAATTATTTTAGATTGGTTTGACACAATCATGTTATGAGCATGTTTGATATGCTAGTTAGTTCTAGAGAGCAAAAAGTAGCAAAGCTTGCTGAAATAAGCCTATTATCTCTACTTCATATTACTGAAGTAGAGGTTCTTTCTTTTTTTTTATGCAGTCTGTTGGTCTTGTAAACATCAGTTTGAGCTCAAGTTAGGAAATGTTGACAACACTTTTCTATAATAATTAGCAATATAAAGTACTTATTTCAAATTAAAAACAGTATGAGAAATTTGAAAAGAAAATTGTAAGTGAACCCTCTCCTGCCCTCTCCTGGAAACAAAAGCAATTAAAATGTGGATGCATATGAAGCAGTATTTAAGATATTTCAGGATGTATTCAAAAGATGCACTTGAACTAGACAGGGGTTTTTTGTTGGTAACTGAATAATTCTTGCATGACTGGTTCATTGTGTATGACTAATATAGAGCTGATGATCCCAAACATAGTTTAACATGGACCCACATTTCGCATCTCAAAGAAGTAGCAGTGTGCAAAACTGCAGTTCACATCTCTTTTTTGTCTTATTGGTGACAAGGAAATGCATTTTAAAAATGCTATAATACTTGAATTATTTAAAGGATATTTTTTCCTGTTTTGAATGTGCACACACAATTCCCTTTATCTTAACTGGGAGTTATGCTGTCACAAAGGGTTGTGCATCCGGCTATTAGAATATACCCAATATATACTGACCCAGAGAATGTACGAGGTACACATATGATCTTGTACTTATTACAGATAAAGCACAGTAAATGAAATAATTATCATCGTTAACATCTGTTGGTTTAAAAAACATTTGGTTTTTATTTTGTGGTCTAGATCTTTTGTATTTGTAAAAATGGGAACTGATAAGAAAAGGTTTTACTTTTACCCATGGTTGAAAACAGATTTCAGTTATGTTATTTGAAACATCTTTAGAAGCTGGTGACATCCAAAAAAGATCTGTAGCAGACTAACCACTGATGGTGTAATTTAGCAGTTCTTGACATCTTATATCATTATTCCTATTCACAGACACCACTGCCAGAACAAGAAGGCCCATCTACTGGAACTGTGGGAACTTTTGAACTCATGAGCTCCAAAGACTTAGCATACCAGATGACAATTTATGATTGGGAACTCTTCAACTGTGTGCATGAGGTATTATTAAATAGTTCCCTATTATTGTAAGTACCAGTACTATTGCCAGATCTGCTGAGTTTAACCTGCAGAAGCAATATCACCAGTAGGCTTTGAATGTATTAAATACAGTTACAGTAGTAGCTAAAATATAAAGTACACAAAAGAAACATCTCCCAACAGTGCACATTATATTGAATTATTTAATAGGCCCTATTCAAATGGCTAAATCATTAATACATAGTCTATCTTTATGCTTTTATTATGCCTCAGTGGTTGTCTACTGAACTTGCAATGCAGCCAGAATCCTTTTCATCTATATTTTAAATACGTATACTGTGGAACAATATTCTGGCTTGAATATGTTAGAAACCTCCCCACTCCTCTTTACCCCAAAGACCCCTTCCCCCACTTATCCTCCCAAATAAAAAAACAAACTTCAAAAAACAGACAAACCTATTTTATCTTTCCTAGCTGGAACTGATATATCACACATTTGGAAGGCACCATTTTAAAAAGATAACAGCAAATTTGGACCTATTTTTGAGAAGATTTAATGAAATCCAGTTCTGGGTAGTCACAGAGATTTCTCTTTGCTCCCAACTCAGCAAGCGTGTTCAGCTGTTGAAGAAATATATTAAGATAGCAGCCCAGTGAGTATTGGAATATTTGCATTAATATATAAACAGCAATTGTTTGACATGTGTGCCAAATTTTTACTTGTTATTTGTCCTTTTTCAGAGATAAAGTTAAAGATAACAAATACATCACTGTTCATGAGGGATTGTTACCCACTAATATACATCCTCCCTTTCTCTGTTTTCTCCATTTACTCTTGATCTCTGCCCACTGGGGGCAGCTACTAAATCTACATATGCGAGTGGTCTCATTGAATTCAGTAGGCAGCTCGTTTCCCTACCGTTATTGTGTTAATGTTTTCAGAGGGATCTATTAACTTTCCTCTGTGGTCTCTACCACTGCCCAGAGTGCCACCAGGAGAGGAGCAGGAAAGGAGCAGGGTGACAGTATAAGGAGGTTTACACTGGCTTCACTTGGTACTTTTTCTTTCCAACTACCAGGCATAAAGGTGGATGGAAAAATCATTTTCCTTCACAACTGAAGCTTATTTAAACAGTCTTTAATACTACAGTTGAGTGATAGCTTTTGCAATGAAATTCACTCAGAATGTAGGCATTTGCCCATTTTCCTGGGAAACAAAAAGTGAATCTTGCATGTATGCAAAATGTGTGCATCAGTGAAAATTGTTAAGTTTATGTGCAAAAATAGGCAGCAAAGACACTGATGTGGGCAATATGTTTGTTCACAAAATGAATTTGACAATTTAGCTGGCTGGTGAGCACTGCTGCTCTCATTTATTTGTTTATTCACATTTAAGTGCCTTCAGCCTGTCTTATTAGGGCTTAATCCCCAACCTCTGACATCCATAAGAAGTTTATTGACCTCAAAGGGAGCAAGGTCAGGGCTAAAACTATTCTGTCACATTCTGTCACTGTTACCATCTTCCTTCCTCCTGCAGTCCATGCTATTGTTTGCTATTCCCACCTGTTGCTCATTGTCTCTGATTAGATATAAACTCTTCAGAGCATAGCCCAGTTGTCTTGTGTGTTTGTATATAGCCCCCTAGACAGCAGGACTCTGATCTTGAGTAGCGTTTAAATACAGCTAACAATTTTCCATTAAAACATGACAATATTTTTTGTATTTTATAATATAAAACCATGACTGAGTCAGGTGGTAGGGAAGAATGGACAGAAAAGAGACAATGGCAGTCATAACTTCACAGCCCAAATCCATTCCCCAACATTGCAAGGTGCTGAATCCCTTCTGGAAACTGTTGAATGCTCACAGCTCCCACTGAAGTCAGTGAAAGTCAAAGGCCCCCAACATTTTGTAAGATGCATTCAGGATCAGTCTCACATTCAGGAGAGAGCATAGAATTCACCTCCTTAGTTCCTAAAAAATATAGGTAGTGTAAAGCAGCCATTCCTTTATCTCATTCTGTAAAGGGAAACTAAAACCAGAAAGCAGGTCTGAACTATTTTGCCCAGTAGAGGGCAGTAGCACACATGCACACAAAGAAGTAGGGTTCATTTCTCAAATCAATAGCATGAAATAGGCAAAAACTTAAAAGCAAGTCAATTAAGATATGAAGGCAATTTACATAAACACTTAAAAGCAAGCATCTTAAAAATAACGGTTAAATGTCTCCTTAATAAGAAAAGGCAGGGAAAATCATAAATCATATAGTGTCCCAGCCAGTAAGATCCCTCAGTGTCATGGGTTTAATCTTCTGCTATTTACATCAGCTTGACAACCTCCTGTTTACTTCCATGTTTCTGGTATCACTGCAATGCTAAAAATACATTGCTAAAAGTGATCTTCTCTACTGAGACCCCTTTGTCTCCTAAATGCAGGGAACTCTGAAACACAGAGTTCTCCTAAATGAACACCAAGCTGGCAGGTTTATTTCCAGCAGCTAGAAAAGAACTTTTAAGTTTTGTCAGGCTCTTTCCCACTGTATAAATTGCTGCCATGGCAACAGGTGCTATAAAACCTCCAAAAACAAATATAAAGTGAGCCAGAATTAGAACAAAATAACCAAGTAACTGGGTCACAAGAGGTGAGCCCAGGCCTTGAAATAATTTTGCTTGCAAAGGGTGATGATAAAGCAGTGACCCAGCAAGAGAGGAGCATACTTGAAAGTAGAGGAAGGTGTTCAGAACAATAAGGTGAGGGGCATGCAGCACTGCTCATCTTTGCAGGAACTGCTAAAGTCATGTGGCACAGCTGCACTTGGGTAGTACTGATTTTCTGAGATAACAGTTGTTGAGAATCTTACTGCCCTGGCATAACTGAGGGCTCCACACCACTGCAGAAGGCACTCTGGCAATATGCCCCTTTTCTGGCTGCTCCACACCCAGGTGGGAAAGTGCTTGACCAGGTGGCAGCTAATTCAGGTGAGCACAGCGTGCTTTGAGCTCACTGTGCAGTGGTTTCCATTGCACCTACTGGGAAAGATTGTACAGTTCACCAAGTTCATGTCTTTCCTCCACCCACTGCAGGATCAAGCTCTGAGTTTTTGAAATAAAGGCAGATGCTAACTGTATCTCCTGTGGTGTAATCCCCCAAGACTGATAGTATTAGAAAAGCTTTTTTATTGTATGCTTGCACATAAATGTAAGCGCATACTCAACCACACTCTAAATATATTCTTTCTCTACTTACTCACCACATACACTAAAAATTCTCTGCCTATACAAAAGCATAATCACACACACACAAGAATGTCTTCCCGGTGCAATCAATTGTGGGAAATTATAGGACTTTTAGTCCAAACTCACTTTGATGCTTTAGAAAATTTTACCTTCTGGATTTTTTTAAAACTCAGAGGATCAAAGCACACACTATTTGCTTAGTAAAATTGTGCATCATTATTTTCTTTAGTTATATTTTTCAATTTGCAAAAATATTTGTATTTTAAGAATGTTAGGTTGAATCACTTGATTCAAGTGTTGAATCTCTTGCCAAAATTACACCATTTATTTTAGAACATAACTAAAAATCATCCATCTATACTAGACTTAATAGGGTTTCAGTTAAACTGGATGACTGCACTGCATTGAAAGAATGTTTAGTCATATTGTAAAGATCCCTTATTTCAGACAAAGAATAGCTGCAAGTTCCAAATTGCAGCTTCCTTAAATAAGCCTGTCTACTGTACTTGAGTAGCATTACAGCATTGTTATTTAATATTTTACAGTGCCCAAATATATCCTTGGTGTCTGACAGATCAAACAAGGAAGGGTACCTGCTCCAGAGAGTTCACCCTCTAACTGTGACATGATACAAAGGGTTAGTTAAACAGGGCAACAGGAAGGAGAGGATAACAGTAACAAAACCATGCTGTTTTGCAGTAAGACAGGTAAATGTCTTCAGGGTTCTGTTAATTTTGGTTTCCCTTTCCTCACTTCTTCTTAGCAAGGTGTCAATAGTGAGTATTTAGGAGAAAGCTGAAGGTGATGGAAGTGGCTAGGTGAATAGACCAAGGTGGCACATTCCCTTTATAGGGGTAGCTGTTTAATTTAAGGAGGTCAAGAGTAATCAAAGCTGGTAAAACAGAAAGAACACTAACAAGGTTATGTTTTCACTGAAAAGTTAACCTGGGCTCTTAATTAGATGTGGTCCATTATGAGGCTATAAGATAAAACCCAAATGAGGCATCCACTTGGGCTGATAACCCACCCAATTTATAATACGGACTGAGTGCTGATAGTCCTCCAGTGCCTTTCTATAATTTCCTTATGTGCTCAGAAGGGCAGACAAGTGTTCCTGCACTTACTGGAAAAAATATCACAGAGAAACCCACATAGGATATGTCTCCAGAGCCATTCACAAAGGTGAGTGCAGCTCTTGTGCTAACACAGTCATTCTTTCTAGGACTTTGTGATGTGGCTTCTCTCACACAGACTGCTCATAGGCAGACCTGGGTGCCAATCATCTGGGTTAATTCTGCAGTGAAAAGATAGCCTAACGGTCAGGGCTGTATGATATGAGCTTTGAATGCAGGAAGTCTGTATTTGATGCCCACATAATAAGAAACCACTGAAGCATTTCAAAAGAGAAGAGAAAAAAAGGGAAATGTGATCAAAGTGACATGTGAGAGAAAAGGTTCTGGAGGGTAGCAAAGTTGGTATAAAATGTACTAGAGAAGACACCTGAAAAGAAGGAAAAGACCTGAGACTAAAGGACAAGAGGTGACAGTAGTCAGTGTGAGAATATGGACAAGAGATTTGCTCATTGAGAAAGAAAAGGAAATGGTGAATGTTTTAAATATCTTGAAGGGGGAAAAAAAAACAGGATTTGGCCATAGCTCAGAGATATGGAAAAAGAGAGAGAGAGAAGAAGACCCCCAGGTTATAAGTTTGGTTGACATGCAGGGTTTGGAATCAAATTTCATTGCTGCAGAGAAGAGAACTAGAGAAAAAGGGTTTGGGAACGGAAATTATGTATTGTTTCTTGGCTAAGGTGAATTTATGCTAGAGACCAGCAATACAAAATACAGCATATGAGAGAGGGTAACTGTAGATAAGCTGGAGCAACGAAATGTATTTGAGAATCTTTTCCATTATTAGCTACCTTATTAGCCTGCCACCCACATTTGCAAGACAAATAGAAAAGAAGCATAGGCCTAAAGATTTGCTATTTTGGCCAATTATATTAACAAATATAGCAAATCATTTGCAGATGTTCTGAAACAACAGTTAAATCCTTTAGTTTTTCCTCAGCACCAATTAAGAAACTCATATGTTGGGGATAAGAGCAGATTTAGAGCTTTTGGTATGTAGGTTCTTAAATACCGAGCATATTTAAAGGATTACTTAAACAGTGATAGTGGCATAGAGGATTTATGTAATTCAGGAATCCCAGAAAGCTGGAGAAACTACATATATACATGGGAACTGAAACACAACCACCTCTTTAAACTGGAAAAAATCTTTGGTGCTATTAGACAGCCTACCATCTCACTAGGGTCTGCAACAACTAGGTTGCATCCCATTTCTCCCATTGTTCCTGTTGTTCCTTCGGTCTTTATTTTGTTCTGTGTCAAGCGATGTCCCATACTGCACTGCTGAGAGGAACGAAGATTAAAAAGTCACTGAACCTCCATGAAGAAGCTGGTGTCAGGTAAAATGGATGATGAAGGCCACTTGAGGAGTGAAGGAAAACAAGCTTCCAGATGAGTTTGATCAGGCTAGAAAAAAGTCTTCTGGGTTCATAAAGCTTTTCATTATATTTTGAGCCTGGGGCTTCATACAATACTTGGGGGGGTTGCAAATTGTGTGTTCCGAGGCTGCTGACATAATTTACCAGATTATAATCAAACCTAAGACAGACAACTCTGAGATCTCTTCAAAACCACAATTTTACTTCTCCTTTGATAGATGCATGACATTAAAAGTCTGGACTTCTTGTATTTCAGCTGTAAGGAATACAAAAATCTTAATTCCTTTTTTGCTATTATCATGGGACTGAGTAATGTTGCCGTGAGCCGTCTTACACTAACATGGGAGGTAAGTGTTACCTAAAATCTGATTCCAAAAAGTCTAGTTGTTATTTCTGCCTTTAGTAAGTAATAGTATTACTCAATCCATATTATTTCTAGAATTATATCCAACAATTAAGGGTTGATAAGGGAAGCACACCGTTTTACCAGACAGCAACTCAGCTCCTGAGAAGACAACCTGCACACCTAAAGGCTTGGAGACATCCCACATCATTATTGATCATTTGTGCAGCATAATGCTGAGCTGCTTTATTAAAAACAAATGGATGGAGAGGGAAACAGAATCACAAGGGGACACAATATAAGATTACATGTAATGGGTCACATTTTCCTGTGTAGAGTTGTCCCAAAAATCCTAAAAGTTTTTGTGAAAATTTGAAAACAATTATTCTTGTTAAAATTCCAGTAAGTTTAAAAACTGACTGGCTCTATATGCTTGCTGAAAACTGGCAAACTTATTTTTTGTGTGTCTGTTTTTCATCAAAAAATATAAAAAAAATTAGTTAGCTTGCTTCAAGTCATGGATATATTGCTAGTGTACCTGAGAACAAAAATTTGGCCTTTTATGTTTAATGCTTTCCTAAAATCTGGTCTGAAAATGAGGTTTCCAGGTAGTATATCTGAAGGTAGCTTTTCAAGGGATATTAAGTAACCTGATCTCTCTGCTTGCAGACATGAAAAAAATAAAGCAAAAACACGCTTTACTTTAAATTTGGCACATTCCTGCATCAAGCCCAGCACTGACCCAGATGAGGCTGTGCATTACTTCGACCTGCTCTGCAGTGTCTGTATAGATTTGGTGCTTTAGTGGGATTTTTTTGACACCTTTATCTAATAGGTGATTGAATCAGCTTAAGGTAAAAGCGCCAAAGGCCCCACTGAAGTGTCCGATCTATACAGATGCTGCAGAGCCAGGTCGAACTAATGTGCTGTTTCTTCCGGTAAAGCATGGATTTGACTTGGCTTTGTTTTTTTTCACAACTGCAAGCAGCCTGAAAGTACACTGGCAATTATTGCATGCAGAAAAGACTAAACTGAATTTCTAATTACCTCAGTGAACCTTTGCAAGATCCACATGGAAGGTATAGATTTGGAGATCAGCTTCCAAAAGCCGAACCTATTATTTCTAACTAGTGAGAGATATTTTGAGTGATTTAAAAAAGCACAGAGTATTTAAGGGAAAAAGGTGACATTTAAATTATTTATGACATACAATACAACAAGCTAAATTTTACAGTATATATGGAGAATGAGCTAGAAGGAAAGATATACTTTGTAAGTGGTATACACTGTTCAGAAAAATGATATCACAGACTTTTGTTCAGCAGAGCAGTAAGGTTGCCAAGGAATAATCTAACAGTATTTCTATTGATCTTTTTTCCAGGGTATACCCAATAAACATGATTAAAAATAAATATTTAGGTTTTGATTTTTACTAAAATTTTCATGCAGGTACACTGGTTGCACATAAAACCAGGTATATCTTGACAGCCAATTATGCAATTTCATTCACAAATACCTTATTTGCATATATATGCAAAACTATTTTTCACATAAATCATTAAAATGAAGCCTTTGCTATGGTACTCTGAAAATATTATTTTCTGATGTATATACTTTATTTACAGCCAGTACTGCAGCAAAGTCCATTCTGCAATGAAGTACTTATTTTTAAAGTGCCCAGTAAATGTAGTAATTTGTATTTTGATGATAAGATACTAGAAAGGTGATATGTTTTGATTTGGTATGTGAAAGTTACTATTTTCCTTGGAACTGACCTGTTAACATACTAATAGCCACTATCCAGTTAATTTGCTCAATGTCTCTAGTATAACATGAGAAGGAAAGCAGTCATTTAATAATATGACTTTACTATATCCTTTATTGGTTGTGAATTTAGCCAACATTTCATTTTCTATTGCAAACAGAAAAAAGTCATTAATTAACTAAGAAAAAGTGACCCTTGGATGCTGGGCAAGTCAAGAATTTATACAGTACTTGATGATGCAGTTGTATCAACATGGTACTTCCTAGAAAATCCCAGATACAGTTTGACTACAGTCTATGAATATTACAAAGGAACATGATCATTCATAGCTAGGGACCTACTGAAATCACGATTTCACAGATTTTGCAGAAATCATGAAAACTGGCATTGCCCACAAAAGCAGGCAATGTCCACGAAATACACAAAAAAGGGGCAACTTACTGAAAAGAAAATGCTGCCTCCCCGAGGGAGCGAGCAGTCTTCATGGTGCTGTGGCTTGGCTGCACAGTCTGCCAGGAGGGAAGGAGGGGGTGAGGGGCCTGCCTGCCCAAAGAGCACCCCAAAATGGCAGCTGCCTCTTGCTATTAATTGGCTGAGAGGTGCCTTTCATGTGGCCGTGCCCATCTCCACCAGTCGGTGCTGAGGGGTGGGGCTGCATGACAGACAGCCTTCT